TGTCGAGTTTCCCCCAGCGGAGAGGTGGGGTGGACACTGACACACACACGCACGTTGATTTCTGGCTAACCTATGTTCTTCAGTGACTCATTACACACACACACACACACACACACACACACACACACTCGTACAGAATAACCACCACTACATTCACACACAACCTGGCAGCGCTCGTACTCTCATTCCCAAACACACCCCCACACACGTAGCCTCTCAGTATTTCATAAAGCATCCGATAGCACTGGAAATACTTGTATGTTTGAGAGTAAGGGTGAAAGAAGGACAGAAAGGGCTGGGCATGTGTGTGCATCATGCAGTTGTCATGCATGCTTTTGTTGTGTGTGCGCGCGTGTGTGTGTGAGAGAGAGCAAGAGAGAGAAATAAATAGCAATTTACCAGCGCAACAAAGAGTGCATGTGATATTAGCTGTCGGATAGTGTATGTGTGACTGTGTGCAAGGCTCTTATGGCTGTCATGAGCCCTCATGACTGAATGCCACCGAGGGCAACACAAACCTCGAATGGGTTCTTTCCCCCCCCACCCCCCTCTATTGCCACAAATTATAATAATAAAAAAATGTGATTTGAGCGGCAATTTTCTGCGATAAAGAAACCAATGATGTGAACAGACTAAATGGTGAAATAAAAGCACAGATAATAAAAGAGAGCAGGAGTTTGTGTGTATGTTCCTATGCGTAGGGGTTTGCACATTTAGTGTGGCAGGTCAGGTGGCAGCAGCAAATCACAGCTGCACTTCCTAAGAATTGGCAAAATGCACGTGTCAAAGGGAACGGCAGCGTGTCAGAGCAGGAAAAAAGCGAGTGTGTGATGTGTGAATGGTAGTGAGGAAAGGAAAGGGCATGGGGCGCTTGCATGGTGCGAGTGTGTATGCGTGTGCGTGTGTGTGTCTTGGCGTTTGTGACAAATAAATAGCAGCCAAAGAGCAAGTGAGCGCGCTCTGATTCTGAGACTGGCAGCATGACCGACTGATCCCTGCATCCATATCATAGGATTAAAAAGCCTGACACGGCACAGATACAATGGCAGTGAAATATGAGACAAAAAAGTCGGTCAATGGAAGAGGAAATGTGATTATGAACCAGAACCGGCGAGAGGAAGATAATATTAAAAAGAAGGGGGTAAAAAAAAAAAAATCTGACACTTTGAACACGAGCCATACAGCGGAGGTGAATGGTAACGCTGTCACCGGGCAGTATAGAGAGAAGAGAGAGAGAGGGGGGGAGAGAAGAGGAAGAGGAGGAGCTGCTGCCAAATACGAGCCTCTCCAATGATTTCCAAGAGCCAAGACACACTTCAGTCACACTGTCAGGAATGTTGTGGAGGGTAAAACCTGCCCAAATTCAGTTTGCACACCTGTTCGTCTGAGCCTGACAGAAATCCTCCGCCTGCACGTCCTTCAAACGACAATCAAACTGCAGCAGGTCAAAGGCTCAGTTGAAATACAGCTCACAAACTCCACTGATATCATTTATAAGGCAAAAAAAAGAAAAACAATGATGGGTCACAGCTGCATTTCCATTTGCAACTAAGTCACTGCATATGGCCTGAACCCGCATGCGAGCAAGCTGCATGCTAATTATTCATGATTTTATGTAACAAGATTTTGGGAAGGAAATTAGGTCAGAGAACATACTGTGCACAGAGGGGGTGAACGTGGAAAAAGGGAAAAGTTTGACTATAGGCGGATTCATTAGAATAGAGGAGCCTTACATCATACTGGCTTCTATGCAGTTTTTAGGTCAACTACCCAGCTGAAAGCAAAGTTATGAGGAATTTAGTTCCTCTATATGGCACACTGCACTATAAAAAGGAATTATAGAGATTAGTACATTTTTAGTAACAAAACTTTGTTCAATTTTAAAATATGAGATCAGTTTTAAAACTTAATGTACATTAATAATTAAAATCTAAACATTATCTATTTTATTTTGAAAGCAAATACAACCTAAAACTTTGTATTAGAAATTTATTAAGGTTATGTCACTTGCTCTTTTAGTGTGCCGTGTCCTGCAGAGAACAGAGATGTGTTTATAAGGGTTGTATTATGACTTGAACATCTGAATGCAAGTTAAGAATGCCAGGACTTGTGGTTAAGCAAGTTTCTGTATGGGAAAAAGATGTTTGTGTCAAGCTTTAACAAGTTTAGCAACAACGCTAACCTTCTCAACTGTCTAATAAGTGTTAATGCTTAACCCAGAGCCCAACAGACAACATATCTTCTTATTGGAGGTTGCGACATCTGACTTTTTGTTTTGCCAAAGTGTTGTTATCGTCTTGTTTCATTTTAGAGCATCATGACCTCGATGATTTATTACACCTCTTCCTAGTCATAAACCAGTTAGGTTTTATTTTTTGTTTGTTGCTTTTTACCGAGGGGGAGTAAGCACGATATCCAAACGTGATCTTAATATTTAGCATGACCTTAAAAAGGAGATGTGTGAAAAATATTGTTTAAATTTAACAACTCTGTGTCTTTAGCTGCTACTCAATTTCTACTCAGAAAATTGACTAAAAGCCACAAAAACCAACTTTATTGATTAAATTTCTATTCATATTACCAGCATACATCAAGAAGGTCAATGCAAGAATCAGTGGCTCCACTCCATTGCTCCACACCTGCACAGTTTTCAGAAATTAAATGTCACTTTCAAATATTTATCTTGTAAGTTTTAGTTCAGAGTTGTCATGCTAATATCAGTAGTTATGTTGTCAGTGACCGCAAGTACTCCAATCACTTGACTGATTATTACAAAACTGCCTTTACTGTTCTCCCAAAAATTTATAAAAATTATCTGCTTTTGCAAGTAACATTTTGAAGAACTTTCTTTAATGGCCTGAAGATACACAGAATAGTATTGCTGTATCATTACTGCAATCATGATGACATTAAAAGAAATATTTTAAATTAGCCAAATAGTGTTAATTTTTTAAAGTACCTATATATCAAAAATCAACTGATCTGATAAGAGAACATTTGCTTAATCAGCCTGAACAAGGTTCAGATTTCAAACCAATTTTATTCATTTATTTGATTTTTTTTTTTTTTTTTACTTCATTTCGGGATGTATAAAGAGTGTGCCTTTTGATAAATAATTCCAGATGAATGTATTTTTTGTTTCAGGACAGAATGTTCTCTGTCCTGAAACAATATGTTATTTTAATGGTGAGAATATAGTATTCCATATGTGACCTTTGGGATTAATCAAAAGGCTATTACGAGTCAATTTACTGGCATTTATTCTGACCACGAAAAGGCAGAAGATTCATCATCGACTGTTGAATAATTAATAGCAGTATCTATTAAAAAAAAAAACTTTGAAATTACTTTTTATTTTGGAGTCCAATCTTTCACAGTTTTCAATATAAATTAAATAGACACAAATTTGAAATTCATATTTTAAAGCAGCACATATTTTAAACCTACATTATATTAACACTGTCTAAATGTAATTACAGTGGTCTTAAATAAAACCGTTTGTTGTGACGCATTACTATAATTTCTTTTCTTTTTTTTTCTTTCTTTTTTTTTTACATACATCATATTATTAGTACCCCCCATCCGGCCACCAATTCAAAAACTTTCTAAAACGCCCCTGATAAGAATACTAAATCTCCATTAAAACTCTGTTTCTTTTTCTAAAACATACTTTCTTGCACGGAGCAACTAAAATACTCACTGCTGCATTCAGCCTGCTTCAATGTAAACCAGAAGAAAGCCAGTCTGTCATTCCTTGGCACGAAGTCAGCGTCTGCTCACCAGCCTTCCGAGCCAAATCAACGAGCGATTATATGTTTAACACTAAAGCGATTAAAAAGCATTACTCAACAAACTTTATCGACTTAATTGTGTCCACACAGTCCTGTACATGTCTGCCGTGAGCATTTGATTTAAGCGTAAAGCTGTTTCGTATCAAACTAATCGGCACTGCGTTGCAATCTGCGACCTATAACAGTTTTAAATACAGTATGCTTATGTTTACAAAAAACCTCACTAGCGACTGAGAAAGTTGGTTTAAATTCAAGTCGAAAGTAAAGTGCATTAAGTGTTTGTTTTGGGGTTTTAAAAGTGTAAAAAGCAGTCAGCCATACGCAGCGTTTATGTTTCTATATAGTCCGCTGACGGCTGCTTCACCTCAGATGACCCAACCAGCCAGACTGGCTGTCTGCTAGCTACCCCCGTTTGAACCTACGTACAGCGGCAACAACAACACTTGAACCACCGCAGCCCAAACTGCCACTCGCTTCCACTGTTACTGTGTCATCGTTTTTTGTTTTTCTCTTTTTTCTCTTATAAAAAAAAGAAAAAACTGGAATTTTTTTCTTGTTTCTACTTCACTTGGCTGACTAACGCTGACTCGGAGTGGAAGAAGCGAAGAGGAAAAGAACCAAAACAAATACATTTCCCGACATGAAAGGATAACATCCAGAAACGGGCAAGCCACGTTTTGTGCCGCTTGTGTGCGGGGAGAGGCTAAAGCTAAAGCCCTTTAGCTTCACCGGGTTGCCCGTCATTAGCGGGGGGCTAACTGGCTAGCGGTTAGCTCCCCTGGCTAATAAATTTATTATGGGCACTTTCACCGGTGCTTGGAAGGGGGACGGCAGAAGTTATCTACCCACGAAAAAACAACGCGAAACGGACGGCATTCACTTCTCTGACAACTGCTTTAAAATATAACCGAGGATAAATGCTCCTACATAACAAACTAAAGTTACCTGACAGCCAAGAGTCAAACTGTTTTATTTCTACTTTGGCTGCCGTGGAGCTTCGATTGGTGATAGCAAGGTGATTCCCACTCTGAGAGGCTGTGATGGAGGGGACGGGTCGCTAGCAGCGGCATCAGCCAGGGCAGAGAGAGGGAGCCAGTCAGTCAGGCAGGCTGCAAAACAACCCGCCTCTAATAACTTCACTTTTGCGGTCACTTTGGTCAAAATTTCCCAAAAGCTGTTAAAAAATAAGAAGTTTTTCTTGCGTCCTACCTGTGAGCGGTGTGTAGTTGCGGGGTGCGACAGGCTGGAAGTTGATTATTCCCAGATATCCAGAGTGGTGCGGTGCGGAGCGCATATAGCTAGCGCTGGGTACAGTAAAGATTGTAGCATAGCTAACCTAAAGACAACAGTAGAGAGGAGAAAAAAAAAGCCTCCTCGTTGCTCATAGGGGGGATCGACGACAAAAACCACATGATCTTTTACGTCAGCATATATTTGCATAGGATGCCAAATTTATGTTTGGCGTCCAGGTGACGTGGAAATGTACAGAAAAGTTTGATTGTGGAGCTGTAACCCGCGGACCGAGGCAAAGGCTGGTCGGGTTGCGGCGGAGACACGCAGGCATGTGGGAGCCATGCACCTCTGTCCTCCGCTCCAGCAGACCTGCTCTGCTCCACTCTGCTGTTTCATGACTTACAGCATGGATGCCAGTGATTAATTGCCCCTGCAACCTTCCTATGCATTTACTTTTCCTGTTGCAATCAGATTTTATATTGAATTTATTCACAAAAATGCCGCTTTATAAACAAATGTATCAGCGTTTTTTTTTTCTTTTCATCCCCTCTTTGACAATTAGATTTGGGTGAGTTTTCACATGATGTATATAGCGCAGACTTGTTTGTTGTTTTAAAAAAAAACAATAACAACTTTAATCTCTTAAAATCTGTCACAATTAACAGAAAATATTTGCAAAATGTATTTTATTCTAGAAACATACACAAAACATAATGGCTGCAGATGAACAGAAATAAAAAATATGCCAGCACTTATATTTTTTAAAACACCTGTTTGATCCTGTGGCTGACCTCGCTATGCATGGTGCAGCAGCAGTACCAAGAACCTATTAAAACAGCTCTTGCTAAATCCCCCTCTAAAGATGCCAACGACTAGTTTTCACCGGGAAGCGATATGGGAGTGGAACTGAAGTTTCCCTGTTCATCAGACGGCTGTTTGCATTTCATTCGCCTCATGCATTTTTGATAAATGGGCTTGTTGTTGCGGATCAGATGCAATAAATGTGAGACCTTCCTCTCGCACGCCTCTCTGAAAACATGACATAGGGCGACACTAATAGGCCTATTTGAGAACTGCAACCTTGTTATAGGAAGGCTTTATTATTCTCATGTTATAGTTTTATGGTACAAGGAGTGGTCTTTGTTGTGATTTAATGACCTTTTACTGAAAAGATAACGAGCTAAAGCTCACAACCGGAAGGAAATAGCCTTTTGATCAAACGCTAGAACGGTAACATTATAGTTTTGTTTGTGTTGTTTCCCACCACCTCCAAGATCCGTTTTATTTAAACTATACCTTTGTTTAAAAAAAAAAAGAAGATGCATTAGCCTATGCGCGATTTGAATAAGAGCTGAGAAGAAAGTGACTCCTTGCCAATTGTTACATAAGAAATGTGACATGAAAGCTGCTTACTTGCGGTTCTGATTTAGCTGTTTTCAAACAATTGCGTAATTGTATTGCCTTTTTATTTAAAAAGTTTAATATACATTTTTAGTATTGGAAAATAAGATTGACATATCCATTCTTCCAACTTGGCTTTCACACTTGATGTTCTATTGTAATTCCTTAAACATTATTCTGAGCAGGGTTTTTTAACCTGATAAACTATGAACTATATATCTATTAAAAAAATCATGTGAATAGGAATTCAAAGAGTAATTACCTATTTCATTGCCAAGTGTTTCAGGAACTCAAAGACTGTGCCATCTTCTGATTTGGATGGATTTAGAGACAAGTCTGAGTAAATAATAAGGGCCTTCAGAACAGAATCGATGCCACAGTCTGAGCCATTTTGGCAGAATAGGTTTTTTTTCTGCAACTGGAGGCTCTTGCCAGTGTCTCCAGAATACACAATCAGGTAATGTTGCCAGGCAAAAAGTGCCAGCTCTTAACCAATAAGCAGAGTTTTGGCAACATTGCTTAGCAACAAAAGTTCAAAACCGAACCACTCAAGGCTTAAAATAGTCTAAAATAGTAATCAAGAACCATTGGTGTCACAAAATTTTGGCAGATGAAAAGCTTTGGAGGAAAGAGGTTCCCTGCTGGAATACCAACGTATGAAAAAAGGGTTGCGTCCTTCGCTGATGAAAAGAATTCTTGCAATACAAGTTTGTTCATGGCAACTAATTACCTGTTGTTCAGCTCTAATTAGGGTGTAGTCTGTGGATGTTTCAAATGTATGAAAACATAAAAAAAGAGACTTTTTTTGAATTCATGATGCCTTTCTTTCTGTACTTTTTTTTGTCTTTGCTAAATTGACTTAAACAAATATTAATATTAATCCTCAGAACCAAAGCTTTGGCCTGCTGACCTTCTGAACTCATGGGTCAGCACCCTGCTGGTTAAGTAATCCTTGCATGTCTAAAACATATTTTAAACCGAGAAATCTCACACAGTGAACCGAGAGCAGTTGACTTTGCTGACCTCAAATTTCCAAAAGAAGAACCTCTGCTGAATGAAACACCCCGAGTCACCATATTTATGTTTCAGTTCACATTCGGTTACATCTGGATGGTAACATTAATTTCTCAGGTCATGTCTTAATTATAAGCAGCAAAGAGAGTTTCCACATCATTAAAAAAACATATTTGAGACAAAACTTTAAGTATCTAAGAGAACCAAAGGTCATTTAGCAAACTTTCCCCGAACAACTTTCAAATTATTCACAACAGGGCTTTAATTTTGCTGACATAAAGTTTCTTTTCCTCTCATGAAATATTAATGACCTTATATAGTCTCTGGCAGATTATCCAAACAGATGTCCGCATGACTTTCTAATCTAAAATTAAGACCAGTCATTTTTGAAGCCCCACCTCCTGCATGAGGCTATCTTGTATTTTAACACAGAAAAGTCAGAATAAATATCACCAAAAAATGATCATAATACACATGGCAAATATTCATCAATTTCCTATCCCCCCTTCACCGCGACAGGTGTATAAAATCAAGTACCATGTTATGTTGACTGCTTCCACAAACATTTGTAAAAGACCAAGTCGCTGACAGGGGCTCAGTGAAATTTCTTTGCAACTAAATACTCTATTGTCAACTGTGAGTGGTATTATAACAAACTGGAAGCCATTTTGAAAAACAAACTCAGCAATGAATTGGTATGCTACAAAAAAAAATCACAAAGCAGGTTTAATGGATGCTGAGGTGTGAAGTGTGCTTCCTGCAGACCTCCAAACTTTATGCGGCCTTCAAATGAGCTCATTATGGATGCATAGTGAGCTTCATGATATTTAATGCAAATCGTCAGATGTAGTGATGTAACGCATTCTATCACTGGACTCTCGAGCAGCGGAGACATGTTGTCTGGAGCGAGGAATCCTGCTTGGAAATCCAAATGGATAAGTCTGAGTTTGGCAGTTGCCAGGAGACCAGGACACATCAGACTGCATTGTGTTGTGGGTAAAGTTTGGTGCAGGTGGATGATAAAGGTTGTCACAGGACTTGGCCTTTGACCCTTAGTTACAGTGGTGCTGAAGCACTGTTAATGCTTCAGCATTCTAAAACATTTTAGAAACGTTCTTGCTTTTAACTTTGTTTGAACAAAAGTCGGAACAGTTTCCAAGGTCATTGATGAGCGAGTTTGGAGGGGGAAGAACTTAACTGGTCGGCAAGTAGCCCTGACCTTGAACTGATAGAATACCTTTGGGATAAAGGAGAGGGAATACCCAGAGCCAGGACTTTAACAACATGTGATTCTTAAAGAGTGGTCATAAACGTCCATAAACACACCGCTAAACCTTGTGCAAAGCTTTTCTGGAGAGGAGCTGCTAAGCTTTAAAAGTTGGTCCAACATCATATTAAACACATTCACACTTGTTTTCTATGTTATATTACAAGATAGGTGGGGTTTAGTGCGCAAGTATATTGCGTGAATTACATATAATCTAGAATTGTGCAGGCACAATGTCGTTTGGACGTTGTTTGTCAAAAAGAAAGTAAAACAGTAATCTCTATTTAAGAGATGTTGTCTTTGAGGCCTGAAAAAATGATTAAAACTTTCACTTTCTGTTGTCCCTAAATGACATTTTTGTGGACTAAACCACACCAAGCAGAATAAATATGCAAATAATATGAGAACTAACATCAAAAATAGCCAAACACCAGACAGCTTCTGCCCACTCTTGTCCACTTTACATTCTCCACCTCCAAATCCAGACTTTTTAATGCATTTTGCTAAGCCATCTCTGCAAACAACTTGGTGTGTCATCTAAAAAAAAATCACCGGCAATTCTGTTGTAAGGGTATGATGATCCGCTGGATATCACTTTCGGTGCACACTTTCTGTGATATTTGTGGAGATTAGGCTGTTCAAACTACTGTTTTTGGGCACTTTGAATACATCAATCCAAGCAGAAAATATTTATGTGTAATTGTGTGGTTTTGACTGGATAGTTTCTATTCTACTGCTGCATCCTGGGCTTACAGCTTATACATACAGAGCTAAACATGAAGGTTATGAGCTCTGACTCTGAGTGGGAGGAGCTGCACTGCTAACTTATGACACTGACTTGGCAGACTTTGTGTCTCAGGCAAAAACGTCAAAACCCTTTTGAAGCGGATAAGAGGTAGGAATGTGAGAATCGTCTTTGTTTCAAATACAGTAAACATGTAGTTTCCAAACAAACGCATTTAGAACCACTTTCTTCCTAAAAAGATATAACTGGTACGCCTTTTATCTTTCATGTGCTTGACACAATTGTTTTCTGGCAACAATTATAGAAATCCATTTTAAGTCTGTTAGTTAATCATAATATATAACTTTTTTTGGTAAGAGATTTAATCATGTTTTCATCACTATCTGAGTTGAAATGATAGCTGCAAGATGTTTATCACTACAAACTTCAATGTTGTTAATCAGGATTTCATGTGACAGTTCAGTATAAAATAGCACATACAATGTGGTGGGAAGAAGATGCATGGTTTCTATGTTTCTGAATGAAAATCAGAAAGTGCAGCATGCCTTTGCATGCAGACGCCCTCAGTCAATACTTTACACAACCACCTTTCCCTGCTGTTACAGCTGCAAGTCTTTTCAGTTATATCTGCAGCATTTTTGGACATCTCTTTTTGATATCGTTTTCCATGTCTTTCCTGTACATATTTGCTCTTTCTTGTTTGTTCACTAATGTTGTGCAACAAAACTAGAAAGTTGTCACTCAACAGCTACATTTATAGAGGTAAAATTACTCACGGATAGCCTGTATTTAAGGTAATTGGCTGAACTGATTTCTTAATGATGTTAGAATTTAAGGGGTTGAATACACTTCTAAGATTTTTTTTTTCTTAGAAGTGCTTAAAACTAAACATCATTATTTCCTATTTAATCTTTTCAGTTCTAAACTACTTTGTTTTGGTCCATCTGTAACATACAATCCCGACAGATATATTGACATTTGTGTCTGTAACGTGACAAAATGTGAAAAAAGTTTAAAGTTTAATGTACTGCAATGATCTGCACATCACGTTTCCATGGTTCTCTCAAGTTGTTCTCTTAATAACTAATCAGAACAGAAGTGTTTATGTTGTGAACACGTGCGAAAATGAAGACATTTATTTACTAA